CCCCAAAACCCCAAAACCCCAAAACCCCAAAACCCCATGAAGAATATTTAAGGATAAACATGCATTAAGATATAAATCTCTCATAATAGTCAAAGTTGGTAATATATAGTAATATTTCAATCTTTTTGTACCCAGTTACCCTTTTTAATTGGTTCCAGGGATGGATCATGATTAAATAATGAGCCTGAAAGACTTCCATTCTTTCTGATGATAGCTGCGCCTACAGTAGGCTGAATAGCCATATTAGTTACTGATGAAGCGTTGTGGAAGTGATTTGTAGATGTATTCGACATGTATTATCTCTACAGTCTGTCGAGTTTATCAGCTACTTTGAGTGACATTTCATTTTCTCTTATTCTATCAATCCCATCATCAAGTAGCATTTCTGGATCATCAACAAATTTATGCAAAGTATTTCTAAACTTGGCCTTTTACTGTCTTTTAGCCCCAGGTAGTCCAGCCTTTTTATCAAACTTTTAAAGATATATTGATTCAAGACCTCTTATTTTCCTCTTATCTCCTCCGATAGTTGAAGCTTCAGGTCTGAAACCCATTCTTGAAGTCATCTGACTAGAAAATGGAGATTATGCTCTAGCTCCCTTATATTATTCTTTTAGTAGCTACTCCTCATAATTTACTACATCTCCTAGATTTCCATATATCTTGTCATAGGTAGGCTTTGGTGGAAGCTTTTTCTCAGTAGCTTAAGCCGCCAATTTGCTTTACTTCAATTGACTCTCTCCAATAATATCTTTGAAATGCTCTTGCTTAAGCTTCTCCAATCTTTCTTAGTTTTACTATGTATTGGATAATGTTTCGAAGTCTTAGCTTTAGTTTTTCTTTTGACTCTCGGCTATTTGGTTTGCCATACCTCCTATTTATTCAGCTATTTTGAATAATTTCTTTTGCTGAGATGCTTCTACAGCTAACGAGGGGAACATCTCCCTGGTATCCTCTCTCTTAATTCTCTTTGGTGGAAGATTTTAAAGCGGACCAGCTTTTTATTTGCTTTCTTAAGGACTCAATTCTCCAGTTCTTGTGGGAGAAAGTCTCTTATTCGATTTTTATGCTCTTCTTATAGGAATCTTTTTCTTGGTAACATTAGTGATGATATCATCTTCATTTTCACCAAACTAGTCAAGTTGATACTTTCCTGGAGATTCAGCCATTAAAGAATCAACACTGCTTTCTCCATCTTCATTATCTCCTTCTTCTTCAACAATTTACCCATCTGGCATAGTCTTCTTTTTCTTGCTAATTTTCTTAATCACTCTTAACTCTCTATCAATCAAATCTTCATCATCTTCGATCTCCTTATCATTTCCTTGAACTCTAAACTCGCCATCTTGTCCTAAGTTAAGTAGGTTCTTCTTTCGTTTCTCAAAGCCAAATGGTGCTGGGATTTCATCGTCTGAGTCTAGTTCAACTGCTTTGAAAATTACTTGACCCATCTTGTTGATGATATTTCCAAATCTATCTATCAAATATCCTCTTCTGTTTACTCTTCTTTCCTTCTTGTCCAACAGTTCTCCCTTTTCCCCTCTAAGAATAATGAAGTTACCCAAGTCATCAATCTCAAAGTCTCCCATAATATCAGCAAGCTCGAAATCTGGAATCTCATTCCTTCTCTTATTATTTACATTCTTTCTCTTCTTTTTCACTCTTTTCTTTTGTGCAAGATTAGATTCACTCTCAGAGATTCCATCAATAACGTTATCAATCAGATCTTTTGTATAGTCAAGGTCTATTTCTGCCTCATCCTCCATTATTATTTCAAGATCACTCTCATGTAAGTCATCGCCTTCAATCTACAAGAGCTCTCTCAAATATGTCTAAGTTCTTCTGGACACAGTTTTTCTTCTGTTCTTCTCCTTATTCTTATCAGGGGCTTTGCATTCAGCATAAACATTGTTGTCAAGCTATTCTTAAGTAGCTTCTTTGATTTCTTTAAGATTAGTTCTGAATAAGGGATCTGGTGCATTGACTTTGGATTTGGGCGACAAGGGGTACGAGTATCTTCTTGGAGCAAACTTATCATCCTCATCTTCACCATGTGGAATTTTAGTTAATATTTGCATTGTATCATCCTTTTCTCCATCGGATGGTATATACCAACTATCTTCCTCTTTGATGTCCTCCAAACTAAATGCTCTTCTCAACTTCAACCTGTTTTCGTCAAATTTAGTCATGACTTAATCTATTTTTCCTCCTAGATCCAAACCCTTTTCTTGGGCTGTGAAGTAATTTTTGCCGACCTGATTAAGAATACTAACAAATGCCTTCTTTCTTAGGAATATCTCGTATTCATCATCAACTACTTTAGATCTTATGAGGGTAGACTCATCAATATCTACCATTCCACTCATTACCATAGACTCACCATTAAAATGCCTAGGCTTGATTCTTGAGTATGCTTCATCACCTTGATTGATGAGTTTCTTTGGATCTCTAAATTCAAAGTAAGTCAATATAATGATTGCTATTGTGAGCAAAAATGATTCTATTCCAAGTATAAGTAGCTAGTATCCCCATTTAACTTGAGCGAATATGATGATGTCTGCTATAAAAACTGGTATGTAAACAAAAATGTAATTGAAATATGTCAACATTCTAAGAGGTCTGAAGAAGTTCTTTAATGGATTTTCAAATTATGCAAGGCATGACTCGAGTCCATAAAAGCCTGAATAGTAAAGCCTGATACATTTGAAGTTAATGAAGAGTGCAATCAGAGGAATGTATTTAGAAGTCCTTGGGAATGACCTTATCCATTTAGCAAATACCTCATCCATCAATATCTCTTTCTTGTAGTAAAGGTAAAACATTATATTTGCAGTCATAAGCATTAAAATAGCAATAAGCGATAGAACAAATGCACCCCAGATACCATTAGCACCAGAATATGCCAGCATTAATATGTATATTAGCATCTCCTAGAAACTCAACAGAGCTATGAGGTTTGAATATACCTTTGTGAAGAACTTATCTTTGATGTAACTTCCAAGTACTAGTAAACATAGAATAATTGAGAATATCAAGAAAGGAAATGGAACTGGGGAGCCTGGAGCTGGCACACAAGCAGTTCTTTTTGCATTGATCATTTGACCTTCAGGGCATTCAAACTCATTCGGGATACACCCGTCTCCAGCTTCATTTACAGTAAATCCTTCTGGACATATCAATCCAACTAAGATACATTGCCCAGTAGAGTTGTTTGGTTCATATTTCTCAGGACAGTATTAGACACAAGTAGTATTAAATAAAAGATAGTCTGCCTAGCACTTTACACAGTGGTTCAATGAGCCCTTACATTATGAACACGGTAGTTCACATTACTTGCAAATGTTATTGATGGGAGTTTGATCAAGAGCAGAGCAAGTTGATTTGCAGATATTATCTGAATTAAGGACAAGGTTGTTATTACAGGATGTGCAGGTTTTTGTAGTTCCTGAGCAGGTCTAGCAATTTCCATCACAGTTCATGCATTACCCAGTAGTTGAATTGTATATTTGGATGTTTTCTTGGCATGCTTGGGAGCATGTATTAAGCAGTGGGTCAAACTTCCTAAATGACTCACAAGTAGTACAGAAACTTGGAGAACCAGAGCAAGTTTTACAGATTGGGTCACAAACTTCACAGAAGGTTGGTCTTGTTATAGTAACGGAAGCTGGACAGGAACTCTTGCAAGTCGCTTGATATAAATACTTGAAAGTTGATGCTGAGCTGCATGCTGTGCAAGTTGAAGGGTTAAGATCACATGTTGCGCATTCACTATTACAGTTGGCACACTTATTATTTTAAGAGTCTTTGACAAAGCCATTTGGACAGGTACCTTAGCATTTGCCTTGATGAAGATACAAATAATCCTAATAGCCACATGCTGTGCAATTAGTGGATGTGACATTACATCCGAGACATGGATACTGGCAATTTTCGCACATTTAAGTCTTAGTATTGTAAAATTTTCCTAGAGCACATTCACTTACGCATGTGCCTCCTTATAATTTGTTCAATAAACTCGTTGGATAGCAACTAGTGCAGTTAGATGCCAGACTTGCGGTGCAAGTAGCACAAGGATAGTCACATGGTGAATTAAGAATCAGTCCATCAGTAACTTAGTCAACATAGTACTGAACTGTCTTACTACTTACAGTCTCTTCATTGAATGTTTTAACAACAAATGAGGTTGATGCTGTATTTAATCTTGGATTCTGGAAACCAGTTAGAACTATGAGGATAGTGTCATCTACAGTTGCACCAACCACTTTTAATTGAAATGCTTCTTTCATTAAAATCTATCTTGATGATGGAGTAATTGTGATCTTTGGAGTTGATTTGGTATAGGCTGAGATGACTGTCACCTTGATTTCACTAGAATTACTGATCTGAGAAGGGTAGGATAAGTAAAGACCACCTCCAATTAAGATATCGTTTTCAGGGTATAATGTGATATTGACTTGTACATTTTATCCAGCACCTGTATTATTTTGCTTCAATGATGATTATCTTAATGTATAAGGTGTATTGGTTGAAACACTAATGCCTGTTGGTGATTTATTGATATCATTTTAGGATCTATCAGTGACCTTTACTAAGAAATCTGATGTTTATTTTGTCGATGGTGGGTTCTTAATTCCATTAACAGTAATCTTAAATGTCTGTAAAATATTGATTTACGTCACACCTGTTTTTAAATCCAATGCTATCTTAATTGAGTTTGAGAGTACAGCTTTGTTAAATGTGCAAGTAGCCGAATTAAAGATTGCTGTGTCTGATGAGGAGCAGGAAAGTGATGATTCTGAAGTAGGTAGAGTGACTTCAGGTGGAAATTGTATTACTAATAAATGAGATTCAGTTACTGGAACAGTGGGAGTGATTTAGAAGGTGTAAGAAGTTATCGCAGAGTTGATGTATGATCCAAGTGTGACAAGTACTGATTTCATAAAAGCAGTGGTTGTCATTGTTACTATAATTCCACTTAGCTTTTGATCCATAATCTATCCTGACTATGTGAATGTCTTTACAGCAAAAGTTCCTGAATTTCCGAGATTCAAAGGATTCACAATTCCTGGGATTGTGAATGAAAACTTTGTGCCGCCTGGTGGGAAGGATGTCTGTCTAAATCCATTATTGATAGTGATGGTTCTGGCAGTAGTATCAACAACACAAGTTGGTGTGGTGGTAAATGTGCTCGAGAAACCAGAACACTAGCTCTACGAATATGAAGCGTCAGGAATACTTATATCGGAAGGATATGTGATTTGAATATAACCATTCTAAGGAATGTAATGCTCTGGTGTGATTTCAAATGAATAAGATGTTGTAGCAAAGGCAACAGTCAAAGCTGGAATTACATTAACTGCATTTATAGTTCCAAATCCAATAGTAATTGGAACACTTCGAGTTATAGTATCTATGAGATAGTATACAGAATCTGCTGAATCTTAGTTAAGCAAAGATATGCTGAGTCCAGATAAAGTTTCAGTTGTTTATGGAAGAGTTATGCTTCCAAGAGTAAATTTAATCTCTGCATTTGATCCTCCAATATAAACAGTTGGCAAGAAATTGTTAATAGTTATTGTTTATCCACTAAATGAACAACTGGCTGCGGCATTAATAGTAGCGCTAGGAGTTATTGTACACGATGAGCCCAACACATATCCAGTTGGGAAAATGGCAGTAACTCTTGTTGAGACATCAAGAGTATGCTTAGGTACAATAGTAAAAGTAATTGGAGTGGTGGCTAATATAGTAGGAGTAGTTGCAACTAATGCTACAGATTAAATTTCACCTGGAGATGCTGTAAAGGTCACACCAGAAGTTACAGTAGCGATTGTATCTCCATTTTATGCATTAATTATTATCTAAAAGCTGCCTGTTGGTTTGTTATAATTTGGAAGCTTCAAAGAATCTATTATAATAACTCCTGCTTAAGTATTAGTAGTATAACTTGTGCAATCAGTAAATGAGAAAGAATTGTCAAGGGAACTCTTTGTAGGTGTATAGCTGGTCTGACTGTTTCCAAAGCCAGATACAAGGATACTGGTAATTGAAGAGACACTAAATTATGAAGGCAAGAGTACCTTAACTGAGCAGCTAGGATTGAGAGGAACTGGTCTATTGAATGTAAGACGGAGTTTATTTGTTTCTTGAACGATGCCCGCGATACTTGAACTGACACTACTGTCGACTGTTACTGCTGCATTGGTGATTACAGCTGCTTAGGTAACTTTAGCTGTAGCACTCCCTCTATCAATGTTTCCACCTGAAGAATCCACTATAAGAATTGAAAAACCTGAAACTTCTGTAGTTGAGAGAGGATTTCTAAAGCTTGTCACATTAAAAGCTACCTCTGTTCCCCCTGCTATAGCTGTACCTACTGCTCCTGTTACAGTTAATACTGAACTAGCAAAAGAGCACTGAAGTGATACTTGAAGTACAGCTCTTGTAATACAAGATATACCTCCTTGAAGATACTCTTATGGACTTGTAGCTAATGGATTCCATTTAGGGAATGTAACTTTTATTTATGCTCCAACTGGTATGCTGTGAGTTGCTTTAAACCTTATTTCAAGATTAGTAGTAGCGCCTACTACATTGCTAGCTGGGGTGAGCTTGGTAGTTTATATAATTCCTTCAGTTGCAATTAAATTAATTCCAGTTGACAACTGATCTATCAATGCACTTGTAGTGCCAAATGTTTCAATAGTGAACGATGAGGTTGGGGAAGTACTCAAAGGGTTGGTCATTACACTGTTAATATGAATTTCAAAAGCTTCTGCCCCTAATATTGCTCCCAGTATTATAGTGATTTTACGAGAGCTTGCTATACAACTAGAAATACGAACTCCTGATAAAGGTAACACCTATATATTGTTGTATAAGTTACAAATCCTAACAAAAGTTACTTACGAATGAACAAGTTAATGAGCCTGAGTTTATACTGACTTCACTAGGAGCGTTGATTTAGATAGATCCGCCTGATGGGATTGGATTGAGAAGTGTACCGAAAATGATTAATTGAGTATTCGTTGTTTAGATTGTTGATGGATCCGCCTGAACTCCAACGTAATTCAATGTAGAACCTTATAATGAAATGAAATATAGAGAACGAACCTTTAGCCAATTAAAGCTGTATAAGAATGCAAAGAAAGCCAAAAAGACGGCTGAGTATAATGGAATTTCGAGGCAAATATGTGCTATTTTACTTATTCCAAAGAGATTTGTTGATATTCTCTTCCATTAATTAAGAAAAATAAATTACTTTGAATTCAAACAATCAATAAATCAGTCGATCTTTGATATCTGGGGTTTTGGGGTTTTGGGGTTTTGGGGTTTTGGGG